CTCATGCTTGGAAGGTGTTCCCCATAAACATCGGCATAACTAACTCATTACCCTACTTCAAAATCCTCCTTTGCCTGATGCCTACAAAATCCTGATAATGGTTAGACCACTGGTGTGCTCATATTACTGCCAATCATGCTGACCAATATTGTCTCATTGTTTCCTTGTATTCCCCCATCTGTCTAGGTCCATCTATTGTCTCTTATTTTTATACTAAGATGATAAGCTCTTTGGGGCAAGGACGGTCTTCTGTTCTGTGTTTGTACAGCACTTAACACAATGAGATTATGGTTCTCGGGCTCCTCGTCAGTTTGATAATACAAAGTATAAATTATAAACAATAATAATCTACAGAATGGATTCATTTTGCATATATTTGCTAATCCACCAGGCCAAAGGATTGATTGTTGCAACTGTGGTTACTACAAATGGGAGGGTTATGAGAAAAAGAAGGAGTTTCAGGATTAATCACTCTACCTGGAATTCCATGGGGTGAGGTAGAGAAGTAGATTCATAGATTTTATGGTCAGACGGGACCCATTATGATCATCTAGTCTAACCCACATGCCATAACCCTCACCCAATAATATTTGTACCAAGACCATAACTTCTGTTTGAGCTCTTGCATATCTTTTAGAAAGATATCCAGTCTTGATTTAAAGATTTCAAGTGATACAGAATATACCACGTCCCTAGGTAAATTGTTGCAATGGTTAATTACCCTCACTATTAAAAATGTGTACCTTACTTCTAGTCTGAATTTCTCTAACTTCATTATGCCTGTTTCTGCTAGATCAGTGGTTCTCAAACTTTTGTACTGGTGACTCCATTCACATAGCAAGCCTTATAAATTAAAAACACGTTTTTATATATTTAACACCATTATAAATTCTGGAGGGAAAGAGGGGTTTGGGGTGGAGGCTGACAGCTCGCGACCCCCCCATGTAATATTCTCCCGACCCCCTGAGGGGTCCTGACCCCCAGTTTGAGAACCCCTGTGCTAGATCAAAGTGCTGTCTATTATCAGAAATCTCTTCCCCATGTAAATATTTGTTGGCAGTAACCACCTTTCTCTTGGATCAAGACTGAGCTTGATCTTAAACTTCTCGTTATTAGGAATGTATTCCAGATCTCATATTATTTTTGTAGCTCTTTTAAACCCTTTGTAATTTTTCAATTTTTTTTTTTTTGAAGTCTGGACATCAGAACAGAACATAATATTCTAGTAATGCCACTAATGCCATATACAGCGGTAATATCCCCTCCCTACTCTTATTTGATTTTCCCCTGCTTATACATCCAATAATTGTGTTCTCTTTCTTAGCTACAGCATCACACTGGGAACTCACATTCCATTAGTGATCTCCCTTGCCTCCTAAATTCTTTTCAGTGTCACTGTATTCCAGAATACAGTCCCCATCTCTGAAGCATGAACACCTACATTCTTTGTTTCAGACATATAACCTTGGATTTTTCTGTATTAAAACTAAAACGCCTTTGTTTAAATGAGCCCACCTCATCAAGTGATCCAGATCAGTGTGTAAAACTGACCTGACCACATCCTTATTTACCACTTCACCAATTTTCAGGTCATCTGCAAATTTTATCTTTTCTTCCAGATCATTGATAAAGATCTTGAACAACATTGGTCCAAGAACAGATCCCTGTGGAATCTAACCAGAAACATCCCAATTGCATGAATATTCCGTATGTACAACTACTTTTTGAGGTTTAATTAGTTAATCAGTTTTTAAACTATCTAGTATGGACTACATTGATTTTCTATAGTGCTAATTTTCTATCAGAATCTCATGTGGGAGTAAGTCAAATGCCTTACAGAAGTCAAAATACAGAAGTCAACCAAATTTATAATCACATCAAAAATTATATCAAGTTTTTTAACAAGACCTGTTGTCCATAAAACCATGCTGACTGGCATTAGTTATGATTCCATGCTTTAATTCTTTACTGATTGTGTCCCTTATCAGCCTTTCCCTGAGTTTACCAGTATCAATGTGAGACTAAATGATCCATAGTTACCTGGATCATCCCATTTACCCTTATAAAATATTGGAACAAGATTTACGTTTTTCCATTCCTTTGGAACTTTCCCAGTAATCTAAAATTTGTTAAAATTGAACAATAATGGTTAAGAGAGATCCTCAATCAATTCTTTTAATTCTCTGGGGTAGAAGCTTTCCGGTCTAGTAAGGTATTAAGCGAGAGAAAGTAACCTTTGAGGTTTATTGATGAATTTTTCAACTTTAAAAGGCTTGAACTTCCTCCAAAATCATGTCATTAGAGTATTTTTATGAGGAAGTGCACAGTACCCACAGGTACCTTTGCCATGACAATGTTTGAATTAACCTCAAGCAACCTGCTGCCTCACAGCTGTGAAATATTTGTAATGATCTAGGAATATTCCTGCTTTGTATGGCTTTGCCTACTTGTCTTGTGCATGTTTCCTTTTGTCATCTCTCCCTACTCACACACATTTTAAGGGCAAAAGCTTAGAATTCTCACAAGAGAACATTAAAAGGAGAGAAAAGGAAAATTGAGCACATGTTTTCTTTTTAAATTACTATGATGTTGCTATTTGATTTATATTCTTGATGTTTTGTGAGCTGGGTGGATGCTCACATTCCAATATAAAATATCATAGATGGAAATCTAGAAAATCCCTGGTTTTGCAGAGTCCATCAACTGTAGATGACAACTCAAACTATATTACAAAAACCCACAGGATATCAAATTTACCATCATTAGAAACGCTTGTTTAGACATTTTTAATTTACTATCTTGTCTTTCTATATTGTTTATGCTAGAAGGTGGCACAGCATCTTACAAGCTGAGATTTCTTTATTTGTGTTACAAAAAATACAAGTTTAAAACTCCATAAGGGAAAAGAGCATAAGCCTGGCTCAGAAACAGGGCCGGCTCTAGGCACCAGCACTTTTCAAGGGGCAGCATTCCAGCATTTTGGAGCGGCACTCCGGCTTTTTTTTTTTTTTTTTTTTTGCTTGGGGCGGCAAAAAACTTGGAGCCGGCCCTGCTCAGAAAGTCAATACCAATTGTATAGTACATGCTTCTTAAAAAAACAGATCTGCTGGTACAGGATTACTTATAGTTCTCTTTTACCGTGCAACATTGTACCTGTACACAACTGGATCAGATACTACTACTAGGACTATGCATAGTATCCAGGACCAAATGTGTTTGGTTTGAGTTAGTTTTTCCTTTAAATTATTAGTGCCAACTTCTGTTCTCAACTATATAATTTATATATGGAGTAAATCCAGTGATGTCAGTGGAGTTACTCTGTATTTACTCTAATGCATAATAAAGTTAGGGAAATATAGCTTTCTGTGTCAAATAAAAGTTGCATGTGAAGTAGAAACATAATGTTTTCCCCCTGCAAATGCTAAAAAATACTGGAAAATAGCAGAGGAAAAACATCCAGAAGAGCCTTATTCCACCATCATTTCGATCTTGCCATTCATCGGGAGGTCCATAAAGTTTCCTTTTGAATCATTCCACAGCATCAGTGTGTATGTTGATGGCGGGCAGGAATGCAAAGACTGCCATCTTTGGTTTTTGCTGTCCCGTAGGGGAAAATTATTGCACAACACCGTGATGTGGAATCATTTACATTAAAAACAATATAACAATGCAAATATACAACAGAAAGTAATTTCAAGGATTCTAAGGTATGGCTGTATCCTCCGTGCATCCTTTTTAGATGTTCAAAAGCCTTTTAGAGTGAAACCCCAATCAGCTTGTTTTTCAAAATTAAGTTTTAGATCAAATTTTATTTTTCTCAACCCTTGCTTTCCATCACCAGATCACAGACAGCAGCAATGTCCTGTTCTAATGAGCCAGATGATTAGAGGAGAAACAGGCAGTGAGTGCTGTGCAGATGGGGGAAAGAAGGCCGGTGCTAGCCTCTCAGAGGGCCTATTATGCATAGAACTTCCAATAAGCTTCAATGGACTACACGCTGGGATAACTAGCAGGAGCACCCTGATCTCTCCGAACAGTGATCCAGATTTGAGTTTCCACTCCAAATAGCTGCTGAGATTTTGATCCCATCTGCCTATTCTAATAAGGCCAGAAAGTTTTTTCCTAGAGTTGGTTAAAAAAAAAGGGACGTTTTACTAAAATTTATGGGTTTTTTTTAATTTTGAAATTCAAAAATTTTCAACTAGGTCTAGTTATCTCTAACCAGGTGCAGAGACCAATTCTAGGCCTATTGGGACAGTGGGTGTCAGTTCCTGGACAATGCACTTGCCCTACACATCAGCAAAGCAGCATTCTTATCGGCTGCTGTTAGCTAGGAAGTGGACGCAGGCTGTGAAAAAGAAAATGGAGCCTCTAAAATTAAACATCAATTTGAAAGTATTTTTTAAAAGCACAGATTACAGTTTTACTCTAAAAGACCCTCCTATGTTTGGAAAGAGAGCGGTCAGAAGAGCAGAGGGAAGGGAAGACAAAGAGAATTCCACTTGCACCATTAGATTCACAGTGATATTGATTATACACAAAAATCAGATATTTACACACACAAATAACCATTTAGAAATGTACTTATCTGCAGCCCAATGAAAAGCTTATTTGCAGAAAATCTCACTTCATTTGACAAGTATCTGACTGAAATATTCTTAAGTGGCTAAAAAACGCCAAGGGATTAAGTAATTGCGCTTTGTGCATATGCTGCCAAAAATAACTTTGGCTAGTATGACATAATTCTACTAGACATTTGTTAACATAATGCTTTTTATTTTCTTGTTTTGCCTAACTTTTGCACCTTTGTATGTCTGCCCTATTATCATGGGGAATGGTTTCAAAGACATGTAGTTTTGTGCAGGGAGTATTTAGCCTGGGTTTTCCATTCTCTAATGCTCAATACAATTTTGTTGACACAACACAATACAATAAATTGGTTTTCTTCTCTCTCTCTCTCCATCTGTGACCCGTGTTTTGATGAAAGACAAGTAATTTACCTGACTCCTGGAGATAGCGATACACCAAGAAATTCACTTCGTCACTGGTTATGCTCATCTTAGCCCCACCTCAATATGATGAGGTTTACAAGAAGTGTGATCCACGCTCTGTTCAAAGGGGGGAAGAAAACAAAAGAGTTTTTGTTCTATTTTGATTTACTATATTATTTGCTACCAGAACTAAGGAACATTATTTAAAGGGGCACAGTTAATATTTTAAAGGCTTAAATATTTACATGTATTACAGTTGTGATTCAACCTGTATGCGAGAGATGCAAAGAGAGCGTTGTAAATGTTGAAAGCACTTCAGCTTTACTACAGTTCTCTTGGATACCCCCTTCAGTGTATGAGTACACTCTGATCAGCACTACTGGCAATTACAGTCAATGCATAGTATACCACACCACACCTAATCTTTTCCAGCCCAAACTTTATAATCTGGTCTTCTGCCTAGTGGTTTATCCACGTGAGAAACAGACAGTAACATCAAAAAATAACACAATGTTACTCAGAGAACTTAAATAAAATAGCAGTAAAATTACAAGCAACTCCAAAAAGAACAAATAGCAAATGCATATTTATAGGGAATAATGCAGAACACTTTGTGCAGAACGATGTATATGCACACATCTCGGCATAATAAAAAGTTGTAATGTCTCAAGTATTCGGTGGTTCATAAAGCACAAGAGTCAAGCTTGGATGATTTACTAAAATAACCATAACCTTTAAAAAGAAAGACAGTTTTGCATGACTAGTTTGGGTATACTTTGTGATAAAAAAAAAAAAAGCCAAATGCTATATATTAAGACGTTATTTTGTATTTGAGGTTCTCTCTCTAAATCTCAATGACAATTTTTTTTGTTCTGGTTTAGTTGGTTCAGAAAATTCACCATAACAGCTTTAAGTACTTTAAGTGAGCCATACAGCTCTGACAGCCACACCGAACACATAACCACTATGTAAAGGTTTGGAAGTAAGAGCATGCTTACACATTATAAATGAAGAATTTTGTAGGAGTCTGCTGTTTGTTTTAATTTCTCAAATGTCTCTTCTTGGCAGGCAGGATGGTCTTTGTTCACTGAAAACCTCTTCAGTAATTCCTGTTGCCTAGAGTAGCACCTGCTACTGTAGGCAGTGCTGATCAACTACAAGTTTCCCCCACTGATGATCTAAACCAGCAGGTCGTTCATGACTGTAACAGATGTCTTTGCATATTTATGTAAATAGAATTCTTCTGAACTTCATTATGCCTTTTATTCCCCTTCCCTGTTCTATTTCAGCAATGGCTCAGATGCTGTATTTCCACCACAACCAATACCTTGGATATTGGGTTCTATATTACAGGCGTTTGCACCTCGTGCAAAAGAGAAAATACATAGCATGTTCTCCTCCTCCTATGATTTTGTGATTAAAGCACGGGTCTGGGATTCGGGACATCTAGGTTCAATTTCCGTTATGCTACAGTCTCCCTATGTGTCGCTGGGAAAGTCACTTGGTCTCCCTGTACCTCAAGTTCTTCATCTATGAAGTAGGGGTAAAACTTCCCTATCCACAGCATTACTATATGCGAGGAGGGCGGATACTAAGGTGATGGATATCATAGCAGACAGATAAATCTACCTTTGTGAACTACAGGATTTTGCATTTAATGGCAAAAATGCACATTAAAAGAGCACTTTTTATAAATCCCTATAAAGAGCCTACTTAAAAAAGGAAACCTTTAAATACAACTTTGCTCAGTGGTTTGAGCATTGGTCCGCTAAACCCAGGGTTGTGAGTTCAATCCTTGAGGGGGCCACTTAGGGATCTGGGGCAAAAATCTATGATTACTGCTGTCTACTAGAGTAAATAGTATTTGAATAATTCTAAATAATTCACCAAGCATCCCTTTTGTATAATACACTCAAAACCATCAAAGCCCCCAAAGACATTAGTGATGCCTGTTAAAGCCATTTTTATCTCCATCTATTTGATTACATTTAAACATATATTCCTGTCACAACTGTCCATTCCTACAGCAGTGATAACAAGAGTGTAAGAAACTGTGACAGCGCTGGTTTAAAAAAAAACCACCAACCCTTTTTTTAGTATCTTAAAAATAGCACTTTCATTTCCTTGGTGGTAGGAAAGATGGTAAAGTTAAAACCTCTTACAAAAATTCAGTTTCAGTGATGACGTACATTGTGCTGCTGTGAGCATTATTAATAATATCTCAAGAAATTACAAGTGCTGCTCCTGGGATACATCTTATTAGGTTGAGTTATTAATATCATAATCTTTCCTCATACAGAGGTTCTTTCTTTCCCCCCAGACAACACCTTTGTTAAATGAATTAAAAGCCAGAGGAAATCAGTCTGACTGCAAAATAAATAGTTTGGCAACTACAGAGAAAGCCTCCATAGCAGCTACCTTTCTCCCTTTTGTATTAGAATTCCAAACACACTAAGGAGCTGGATTGATAATGCATTTTCCCTGAAGTCAGTGAACAGGAATTACTTTGACATATGTGTCAGATCATATCTTTATACACATTGTTACCATCCCATAAATAACCAGATGATCCCCGCTCATGCATTTAAGTTCCCCCCTCCTGCAGATGCCAATGCAGCAATAAGATACACAACCACAGGGCTCTATCCATCTGAAATGATCCAGAGATCTTGGCTCTGCCCCAGAGTAATCTATTCATTAGAAATTCAGCTGAGCCATGAAAGACTACACTAAATTTCATTAACCCTGCCTTCTGACTTCCCCCATCCCCACACAAAAATACCCCAAACCTGATATCAGACTATGGAAAAGACAGTCGGGAGGAGAGGAACATAATTGTCTCTTGTGTAGCTCTAAGTCTGATTCAGGAACAAAGAAACAAAACAAAACAAAAATCCCTCCCGCACAATAAAACTCAGTCCATCTCTAAAATCCTGAGAAAACCTCCAGTTGAAAGCTGGGGTGGAGTGGGGTGTGTGTGTGGTAACCAAATGTTCTCCCTTCATTAGTGGTGATCAATATTGTCTAGATTAATACTCCTTCTCTCTCCTTTTTTTAAGTAGTGCTCAGAGACAACATTAATGTGCTTATGGGGCTGTTTCACATTTAAACTAAAGTGATAACATTTGAGTTCGCTGTAACATAATTAAGTTCACTACACACAACAACAGGCAGACGGTCAAATCACATCCAAGCTCTTTTTTACCTGAAACGCCTTTTCTCATAACCAGTTACATGTTATGGAGGGTCTGATTAGCTTCAACTATACACAGAAAAAAATGAGTCCCGATCCTGCACATACGCATGCGTGGGCTTAAAGTTAAGCATGTAAGTAGCACCAATAAAGTCAACGGGACTAGTCATATACTTAAAATTAACCCACAGTACTGTTGACCCCAAGCGTTTAAGAATGAGGAGTGTGTGTTTATAAAATCAGGGACTTACCTTGCATTATCCACAGGCATTTAACTACCTTCAGTTATTTAAATTATAAAACTTGAAAGGGTGGTGTACAAGAGTTTGCCAGGGCTCGACCCTCTCCGGGGAGCCACGCCGACGCACTACCTACTGGGGCTTGGGCACTTGGTCTGGCTGCAGGGTCTCCCCCGGCAGTCCTTGCAATCTTGAAAGATACAGTAAGCCCGACCCTGGCTCAGGGCGGGCACCAACGTTATGTCAGGGCTCAGACCCTCAGTCAGGGTTGAGCAACAATCAAACCAAGTACTTAAGCCCAAGCCCTAGGTCAGGGCGGGGCAACAAACGCTGAGTCAAGCACTCAGGCCCTCAGTCAGGGCTGAGCAACAGTAAGCAAAGTATTTAAGCCCAGGCCCTAGGTCAGGGCGGGGCAACAAACGCTGCGGCAAGCGCTCAGGCCCTCAGTCAGGGCTGAGCAATAGTAATAGGCCTAAGCCTCAACAGGCCTGGGAGAGGGGGAGACTGCCACCCACGGGTTGGGTGGCAGGGGGGACGCAGGCCCTCCCACTCCACTGCGTCCCAGCCCGGGGCCCTAGCAGCGGCAGAAGACCCGCTGCTTGGTCAGTGGGGATCCTGGCCGCAACACACTGACATAGGCTCTGGCAGTGCTGCAGCCAGACTGGGGTCGGCTGCCCCCGGGCTACTTCCACACTCCCCCTCTGGGCCTACCTGGGGGCTGGTGTCGGCCTCGGGGAGAGATCCTGGACCATGGGTTC